TAACCTCATCCACAAAACTGTATGTCCCATTTCATCACATAGAGATTAGATTTCAACATGCAAGTTTCGGTGGTCACAAACAGTCAGGTGTCCAGCACATTCAAAGTGGAAGGTAGTGATTACTCTGGATTCCTTTTCCGTATCCTCTATCTCTGGTCAATCACTGATTAATCCACCCAATTTAACATGAAATATAACTTGATTTAATGGCATTTCTTACTTAACAACATGATGCTCTTCCACTTTAAACATTTGATGTCTTCCTCTTGTTTTTTTAAATTTTTATTTTTCACTTCAAAATGACATACATTATTTTGTACACTCTTGCTAATTTTCATTTAGCAATATTCCACTAACTTTAATTTCCTCTAATCTGTCATGCACTTTCTACTCACATTTATAATATTTCAGGTTGCTTTTGATATTTGGAATTTTTTTTCTCTTTTCAACCAATTCTGTTTCTTTGGAAAACCATCTTTCAGTACTCAATTTATGACCCCTTCTTCTTGAAATATAATCTATGATCCTGTATATTCTAAGATTTTCCAATATGGAATATGGAGATTTCCACTATAATCCTGTTGCATTATCAGCTAGAGGGTTTGGTTATCTTTGGGCCTTCAAACATTTTTAGTAGCTTTAGCTACTAGAAACAGTACCGCTATGAATAAGGGTGCACATACATTGCTGCGGTATGATTGTATTAATTCTTTTGGGAAGACACCAAGCAGGGGAATAGCTGGGTCAAATGGGACCTCTAGTCCTAGTTCTTTGAGGTATCTCCATACTGATTTCTACAGTGCTTGCACCAGTCTACACTCCTACCAGCAATGAAGAAGGGTTCCTTTATCCCCACACCCCTGCCAGCATTTATTATTGGTTGATTTCTTGATAGCAGCCATTTTTTCCGGGGTGAGGTAGATTCTCAGTGTTGTTTTCATCTGCATCTCTCAAATGACCAGTGATGTTGAATATTTTTTTCATATGCTTATTTGCTGCTTTTACTTCTTTTTCTGAGAAATGTCTGTTCATTTCAGATGCCCATTTTTGAATTGGGTCTTTAAATTTGGGGGGGTCTGATTTTTTTTCAGTTCTTTATATATTCTAGGTTCATTTCAGATGCCCATTTTTGAATTGGGTCTTTAAATTTGGGGGGGTCTGATTTTTTTTCAGTTCTTTATATATTCTAGATAGTAATCCTTTGTCTGAGGTACAGCTGCTAAAATTTTTTTCCCACATTGTAGGTTGTCTCTTAGCTCTGTTAGTGGTTTCTCTTGCAGTGCAGAAGCTTTTTAATAAGATGAGATCCCAGTTGTTGATTCTTTGTGCTAGTTCTTGTGGTACTGAAGTTTTGTTCATAAAGTCTTTTCCTATGTCGATATCTTCAAGAGTTCTACCTAACTTGTCTTCTAACAAGTTTAGTGTTTCTGTTTTAATATTTAGATCTTTAATCCACTTCAATCTTAATTTAGTGCATAGTTATAATATGGGTCTAGTTTTAGTCTTTGGCAGGTTGAAATCTAGTTTTTCCAATACAATTTATTAAATAAGTTCTTTCCTCCAATGAGAGTGGCTGGATCCTTTGTCAAAGATGAGATGGCTGAGTATGTCTGGAGTTGTTTCTGCATCTTCTAATCTATTGCACCGATCCGCGGGTCAGTTTCTTTGCCAGTGCCATACTGTTTTTATCACAGTAGCTTTGTAGTATAGTTTCAAGTTGGGGAATGTGATACCACTACCATGTCTCTGTTGCCTAGAATTGCTTTTGCTATTCTAGGTCTCTTATGCTTCCAAAAGAATTTTTGGATTGTTTTCTCTAGTTCTGTGAAGTATACTGTTGGAATTTTATTTGGTATTGCATTAAGTCTATATAGTAGTTTTGGAAGAATGAACATTTTCACTATATTGGTTCTTCCCACTCAGGAACAAGGGATGTCTTTCCATTTTCTTGTAACCTCTCCTATCTCCTTTTTCAGAGTGCTGTAGTTTTCAGTGTAGAGGTCTTTTGGTTCCTTTGTTAGACTGATTTCTAGATATTTCATTTTTTTGGATGATATTGTAAAAGAAATTGTTTCTCTAATTTCTCTCTCAGTGAGTCTATTGTGTATAAGAAGGGTATTGTTTTTTGAGTGTTGACCTTGTATCCAGGTACTCTACTGAATCTGTCAATTAAGTCTAGAAGTCTTTTGGCAGAGTTTTTTGGGTCTTCTATGTAAAGAATAATATTGTCAGGGAATAATGACAGTTTCACTTCTTCCTTTCCTCTTTATTCCTTTTATTTCTTTCTCTTTTCTAATTGCAATGGCTAATGTTTCCAGAACTATATTGAACAGGAGTGGTGATAGTGGGCATCCTTGTCTTGTTCCTGATTTTAGCGTGAAAGTTTTCAGTTTTTGACCATTTAGTATGATGTTGGCTGTTGGTTTTTCATAGATAGCCTTAATCAGGTTGAGATAAAGACTTTCTATTCCAATTTTCTATAGGGTTTTTATCATGAATGGGTATTTGATTTTGTCGAATCCTTTTTCTGCATCTATTGAGATGAACATATGGTTCTTGTCCCTGGCTCTGTTAATATACTGTATTACATTTATTGATTCACATATATTGAACCATCCTTGCATCCCTGGGATAAATCTGACTTGGTCATGATGTATGATCTTCTTGATGACCCTCTGTATTCTGTTTGCCAATATCTTGTTGAGGATTTTTGCATCTATGTTCATTAGAGAGATTGGCCTGTAGTTCTCTTTGTGGGTTGGGTCTTTCCCTGGTTTTGGTATCAAAGTAACACCTGCTTCCAGGAATGAATTTGGAATGAATTTGCTTCCTTTTCAATTTCCTTGATGAGTTTAAAGAGCAATGGTGATAGTACTTCTTTAAATGTCTTGTAGAATTCAGCAGTGAAGCCATCAGGATCTGGGCTTTTCTTTGTTGGTAAAATTTTATTACATTTTCAATTACATTCATTGTAATTGAGATGTTTAGAATTTCTATATCTTCTTCATTTAACTTTGGCAATTCATATGTATCTAGGAATCTGTTCATTTCTTCTGTGTTTTCCATTTTATTAGAGTACAGTTTCTCAAAGTAGGTATTGATGATCCTCTGGGTTTTGCTGGGTCTGTTGTGACTTCACTTTTTTCATTCTTAATTGCATGGATTTGAGCTTTTTCTTTCCTTTTTTAATAAGGTTGGCTAAAGGTTTATCGATTTTATTTATTCTTTTCATAAACCAAATCTTTGATTCATTGATTTTTTTGTATCATTCTCTTAGTCTCCATTGCATTGATTTCTGCTCTGATCTTTTATTTCCTCTCTTGTATGAGCTTTGGGTTTGTTATGCTCTTCTCTTTCTAGGATCTTGAGGTTCTGCATTAGGTTATTTATTTGAGTTCTTTCTGTTTTCCTAATATGGGCATTCACTGCTATGAATTTCCCTAGTAGAACTGCTTTCACTGTGTCCCATAGATTCCTGTATGCTGTACTGGCATTATCATTTACTTGCAGATACTGTCTTATTTTGTCTTTAATTTTCTCTGTGACCCATTTTGTTGTTTAGCAGAGTGTTATTCAATTTCCAGGTGTCTGTGGGGATTTTGTGGTTTCTTATGCTATTGATGTCCAATTTTATTGCACTATGGACTGATAATATACAGGGGGTAACTTCAATTCTTGTACATTTATTTAAACATGTACTATGAGTTAGCATGTTGTCTATTTTGGAGAATGATCCATGTGCAGCCCAAAAGAATGTATATTCTGATTTTGTGGGGTGGAACACTCTGTAACTATCTATTAAGTCAATTTGTTCAATAGCTTGGTTCAGTTCTAGAATTTCCTTGTATATTTTTTGTCTAGATGATCTATTTGTGATAATGGGGTATTGAGGTCCCCCACTACAATTGTATTAGTGCTTATTTGGATTTTCATGTCCATTAATATTTGTTTTGTATAGTTGGGGTATTTGTATTTGGTGTATATATATTTATGTTTGTCATCTCTTCCTCTTGTATTGTTCCCTTCACACGGATGTAGTGAGCATCTTTCTCTCACTTAATTAGTTTTGGTTTGAAATCTACTTTGTCTACAAATAAAATTCCTACCCCTGATTTTTTTCTGGGCTACTGTCATGTGGAGAACTGTTTTCCATCGTTTTATTTTCAGTCTATGAATTTCTTTTTGAGTTAGGTGTGTTTCTTGTATACAGCATATTGTTAGATTTTGCTTCTTAATCCATTCTGCCACTCTATTTCTTTTGATTTGTGAATTGAAGCCATTAACATAGATTTTTATAATTGACAGATATTGACTTATACTTGTCATGATGTTTTACTGTTGTTGGCTCTTTTATTTCTTATTTTCCCCTCTTTTCCTTCAGTTTCTTGCCTTGTCTGGTGGCTTCCCTCTGCTGGGCCTCATGGAGTTCTGACCTTCATCGTCTTTTTCTTAGTATATTGTTTAGAATTGTTTGGAGAGCTGGTTTGGTGTTCATAAAATTTCTTAGGTATTCTTTTTTTGTAGAAGTATCTAATTTCCCCATTGATTTTGAAAGATAATTTTTCAGGATACAACAGTCTAGGTTAGAAGTTGTTTTATTTTAGTGTTTGAAATACTTCATTCCAGGCTCTCCTTGACTTCAGGGTTTGTGTGGAGAAGTCTGCTGCGATTCTCATGGGCTTTCCTTTGTAGGTGATTTGTTTCTTTTTTCTAATTGCTTGTAGGAATTTGTTCTTGTTTTGGTTTTCTGGGATCTTGACTATTATATGTCTAGGTGTAGATTTTTTTTTGATTGTGGCTAATTGGAGTTCTATATGCCTCACTTTTCTGTATGTCTAATTCTCTACCTCTGTCTGGGAAGTTTTCTACTATTAGTTCTGTAAACAGTTTTTTTTATGTCAATTGTACTTTCTCCTGTTTTTTCATGGACTCCCATCAGTCTTATGTTGTTCTTCTTGCTTCATCTACCAGCAGCTGGTTTGATTTCTCATGGTCTCTTACTGTTGGGGTCTCCTCAGTGGGAGAGTGGAACCTGAAGACAGTATCTGATGAAACCTATTAAATGAAGGAGCACGGAGGACCAGAACTCTGTGTGGAGTTAAGGCCAGGTTTACTGGTAATAGTTTTCTTTTATACATTTTTCTGCAGGATACAACAATCATTAAAAATTTACAATGCTAATCAACTAACCACCAGTTATATCTGTACATAAAGCATCTAAAGAACCATCTATGCTCCTTTAATCTTAGTGCATCTTATCTAAATCATCATGGCTACTTAAAGCTTCTAAAAACTTAGCTACGCTTATGTATTCTTATGTCAAACAAATATTTGAGAGTCTCAAGGGACCACAGCAGAACAAACACTGTGGGATTGACAAATAGCCTTCTGAAGTTATCTTTAACTTCTCTATCTGGGCCTGCCACAGACATCAGGACAATCTGTCTTCCCAAGGCTGTCCGAGGGCCTGAGAACTTCTCATATCCTCCACAATTCCCCCTTCTTTAAATTATTGTAGCTGTAGGAGGAGTTCTTTTCCAAATAGCAAGCATAGCAGTAACAGTAGCATGTAACTGAGATTGAATTATTTGTCTTCTGAGGACACAGTATCCTATAACAAAAATGTAAATAACAATCAATAAAACCATTAGCCCATTCCCCACACTATGGGTTATACCTTGAATAATTCCTCATGGTCCAAACCACTTAATTGATCAGCCATATAATCAGCTAAAGTAGAGAGAAGTTTCAGGGAATTGTTTATTGAAAGTATCAAATATTTCTCCCTGGAGCTCCTTTACATCTAGGGTAAAATTTCCCCTTAAATTTTATAAATGAAATGTAATTTGGTCCCATGTATATTTACTGCCATTAAATTTTGTAGGAGTTACACAAAATTGAGTAGAATCCCAATCACATTTTAACATTAATTGACGCTGCATATCCATCACTTGATCTCCAAGCCATTTTAACCCACACTGTAATTCACCAATTTGTTTATGTATATCTTTGGCTATAGAAGTTTGTGTGGCCCAGAGTTGGTGTGAATCTTTTTGCCAATTTTGTATAAATTCAGTATTTTTGATACTCTGTTGTAATGCAACTCCTGCTACTGCTGCAGTGGCACAAATAGCAATAAGTCCTAATATTCCTAAAATTACCCACTCTATAAATGCTTGGATCGATGTATCAAATGTTTTAACAAGTGGTGGGCAAGCCCTGCCATAAGTCCCTCCTTCCATTGCCTCTCTAAATTTACAGGGACCCATACCCCCATATGCAATTTCAAAATCAACAATGACACATTAGAGAGATTAATATCAAGATTAGGGTGAACACAAGTATGTAAAGCACAATTATAACAGATAACAGCTTTCAAGGTTTCATTGATTTTCAATTTTCCCAAAGCTAATACATAAGGTAATTTAACACAGGCAGCAATTGGAATGTCCTTTTCTTTATGGAATTGATATTGTGAGGAGCTTTATTTCCTGAAAAATTCCCAGTCCATAATTCAAGAGGTTGTGTAGCGGCAGTCAATTTCCACAGTTCCTATTGTTCTGGTCCCAAAGAAGCATTATTCAAAACAATCCTGGGTCAAGGGGGAGAAAGTCCACCATCATGCCATGCCATAAGTCCTTTAGGATGATTTCTATCCAAAGAGTCCGTGGTTCGATTCCAACTAACTTGTGTAACATAATCATATGACAAAGTTTTATCATCATCACTACAATTATTTAAAAACATTCTTCTTGGACCCCAATCTATTATAGAATAATTACTTAATGAATATAATTTGCCATGGGGAGATAGGCATCGAGACCACCTAGGTTTATGTTTATATATATAGTTTTGATAAGAAAATCCTTTACACACTGGATATGACCCTCCTTTTGAATTATAGGTATATTTATAGGATCTGGCCAATGACATTGCTGTGAACATTACCATAATCATGTGGGAACTCGGTACAGGAAGGAGGATGTAAGCCCACCACTGCCCTTGAGTTTTAAAACAAGCAGGATCCTCCCCTAAACAAAGAGGCAGTGACCCATAGCCCAGAGAAATATTGAAAGGAGTTCTCTCCTCACAGGGAAAAGTGAGAATCCCCATTCCCCAAGGAGGAGGTAAATAAGTAGATTCATTAGTATAAACTAAGGGGCCAACCTCATTCCATTCTACAATTTTCAATAAAGGTGGATGGGGAACATAAGCCCAATAATGATGATCGTAAGCACTCACCCCAGTCGAAGCACACGCGATGACAGCCATCCTAGCCAAAAACAGGTTCTCAGGTGTTTGAGAAAAGAAGTAAGGGTCAATACTTGCCCAGTGCCATGAGTCAAATGTTTAATCTGGCCCCAGGTGGGAGGATCAACCTGATAGCGAGGAGCTGAGCGTTTTCGGTTTTCCTTGATCTTTAGAGATGCCATTTCCTGAACCAGAGGTTGGGGCATTTCTCCCTTCAAGGCTGTCTTGATTCCCTCAGGGCTGGGCTCTGGGAATTTGAATACTGCCAGCTTCCCTGGGCCTGACTTTCCAAAGAGGCAACCATATTTCTTGATTGGATCCATTCTCTAAAGAAACACAAGCATAACCTTGACCCTGAATTAATAATTGAGCATGTTCCCACACATTTATTTCAAAAGTTTGGACCCAAACTGGTCGGGGAGTCTCCAGAGGGAGCGTGGTTTCCTGAAAATGTAATGTTGCTTTTGTTAATATTTCCCTTTGTGGTAAGTTCAAAAAATTTAAAATAAACAGAGCCATATTTAATAATTCTTGTGGTGATTGTAACATTTTAAATAACTTTCTTCTATATTCCTTTTGATTAATATAATTTGTATTTGCTATCAAATCCTCTACCTTTTCTGTGTATGCCCCATATTTCGCCTTCTTTAATTTATGTAATTGTAATTTAAGAGTTCCATGGGCTCTTTCTACTGTGGCTTGACCTTGAGGAGTATATGGAATTGTTGAAATATTTTTGAAGTATAAGCAGAAGCATTATCAGTTTTTAGAATTTGGAGAGTGTCCATAACTGTAAAACAAACCATTAAATGTTTAATAACATGGCCAGAAGATTCACCGAACATAGCAGAAGCCCACATGAAAGAAGAATAAGTATCTATAGCAACATGAATATAAGCCATTTTGCCAAAGGAAGAAAAGTGGGTGACATCCATCTGCCAAAGATCATTAGGTTGTTTTCCTCTAGGGTTACTACCAATTGGGAGGGGATGGATATGTAAAGGGTGACAAGTAGGACAATGAAGAATGATTTGTTTTGACTGAGAAAAGGGATCTTATATTTTTGATGTAGTCTTCCTGCATTAGTATGTAAATGAGTATGTTCATCTTTAGCTGATACAAAAAAATACTGTAGTTCTGGTGAGTTTATCAGCTTGTTCATTACCATATGTTAATGGGCCAGGCAATACTGTATGGGCTGTTATATGACTAATGTATATTGGAAAAGAACAAGCTCATAAAAGTTCCTGAAGGAGAGAAAAGAGCTCCAAGAGTACAGGATGTCTTACTGTTAAGAAAGCAGTCAATATATTTTTTGCTACATATACTACATAATTAGAATCTGTAATAACATTAATAGCTAAAGGAAACAACTTTAGAACTTGAATAAGAGCATATAATTCATTTTGTTGGGCAGAAAAATATTGAATAGGAAATATCTTATAATTTTTTTCCACCATATAGTGGCACAACCTTGTTTAGTACCATCAATAGAGATATTAGGAGCATCAGAAAGAGGGTGTGGTGAAACAACTGAATCAACAATCCACTGAGTATGTTTAAAGAATTACCATATCTTAGCAGAAGGGTAATGGTATCCGATTTGACCAAAATATGCATAAAGTGATAATTGAAATGCTGTGGATAAAGTTAATAAATTATTAAAATGTTTAGAATTAAAAGGAAAAACTATTACTGTTGGCTCAGCTCCAGTGAGCTGATGGATTTGGAATCGACCTTGAAAAACAAGAAGAGATATTAAATCATAATAAGGAACAACATTTCTTTTTTGTGTATGTTTTGCTGCGTGGATTCATTCCACAGGTTGATCCTCTTGGGCAATTAACGCAGTGGGTGTACCTTCAGAAGGCAAAATTATTAAATAGAAAGGTTTAGATAAATCTATCCTAACTATAAATTGTTTCTTTATTTTTTTTGTACCAATTCAAGTTCCTTTTGTACTTCTGGTGTTAACTCTGGAGGGCTGTTTAGATCTGAATCTCCTTGTAATATCTTAAAAAGATTATGAAATTCCATAGTAGAAATTCCCAAGGGTGGGCAAATCCAATTAATATGACCTAATAATTTTTGAAAATCATTTAATGTTTTTAAATGAGATAAATCCAATTTCATAAGTTGTGGCATAATTTGTTTTTGATTTACAATATATCCAAGATATTGATAAAGGGATTTTATTTGAATTTTATCAGGAGATATAAGCAACCCATGGCGCTGCAAATCTACCTCAACCATTTGAAAAAGTTCTTGCAATCCTATTTAACATTTTTTTTAGAGAATTGAGAATGAGGTCCATACATCATAACAGCTTTTTTAACTGATTGTAATAATTGAATATCAAACCCTTCATATCTAGGCACAATACCTCCTTGAGCTCCAGGTTGTCTAATTACGGGAAAAAGGAAAGGCTTATCTTTGTCTGAATCTTCTATCTGAGCAATTTTAGCAAACAAATCAGAAACACAATGGGAAAAGCGAGCAACTCTTTTAACTTTTGGTTTAGCCCCAGACCCTTTTCGGTCCATAAGCTTAATAATATCAGAAAAATAATCAGAATCTGGAACTAGATCAGAATCGGAATTTTCAGAATCTGATGAGGAGTTAGAAGAGCGCCACTGCGAACCCCTTGATCCTGATTTTAAAAGTTTTGGGGAATCATGGAATGAAATCAAATCCTCTGGACGCCCAGCCCAGAGGAAGGGGCTTCTGGGACGCCAGCCAGCCAGCTGCTCCTGGCGCAGAGGTAGGGGCTTCCTAGCAACCATCCCTCCCACTGCTCCCAGCCCAGAGGAAAGGGCTTTTGGGCTACCATCTACCCTGCCTCTCCCAGCCCAGAGGAAGGGGCTTCTGGGACGCCAGCCAGCCAGCTGCTCCTGGCGCAGAGGTAGGGGCTTCCTAGCAACCATCCCTCCCACTGCTCCCAGCCCAGAGGAAAGGGCTTTTGGGCTACCATCTACCCTGCCTCTCCCAGCCCAGAGGAAGGGGCTTCCTGGCCACCACCTCTACCACTGCTCCCGGCCCCTGTCCCACCTCTCCCAGCTCAGAGGAGGCAAGCCGCACGCGGGTCAACAGCACCCGCCCTGACCCACCAGTAGAAATGAGAAAACATTTAAATAAGTCGCAAAACCAGACTTCCAGATCACCTACAGTAACCCCAAAGGGAAATGAAATGGAAAACTCTGATACTAAAACACATGGACCCACTGAACTGGCAACAAAAGGAGATCCGGAAAAAATGAAATCAGAAATAATTTCCCAGATAACAGAAGAGATTGTGCTCCTAGTGCAAGACATAATTAATACATCTAGAAAGGAGCTGAGGAACATGATGGGATCCCAACATAAGAAACAAATGGAATACATAAAACAGATGCAAATAGATTTCCAGATGAAAGACTCCACTGAAAGTCTACACAGCAGAATGAGCCAATGTGAGGACAGAATTTCAGATATAGAAGATAAGATTGCAATTAGTGACCAG